GATGTGTGCAAAACAATCTAAATGTTGCCGTCGTAGAAGAACCACCTCAGGTTAATAGAGAGGGAATTTTGTAGGAACCCACCCTCATCTCCACTGTTTTTAGGGGGGGGTTTTGTCTGACCAGAGCAGCTAGCTCCACATGTTCTCCCTCTTGGCTACTGATATTCTACATGCAGAGCTTCTAACAGCTTTGTTTCATTGACAGTTTTCTTATCCCATTCTTCTATGAAGGCACAGAACTAATAGTTGCCATATTGGACAGATTCTCTTTTAAGAGCTGGTGTTCTCTTTGCAGTGTTCTTCACTGGAAGCTCTGCTCTGGTGTGATAAAGGGTTGAACCTTTGAGTAAAGCCTCAGTCCTCAATGTAGCCATCTGGCATCTAAATCCTGCACTGAAACATTTGCAGAATGCTTATCTTTATTTCCTGTTGCATTACTTTTAAAAATAAAGGCCACTAGAGCCAAAAAAGACAAATGATAAGAAGTTATTTTTGCAAGACATTTTCGGTTTAGACACAGTGCAAAAAGGGGTGTCTGAGTTATTGTAGTGTAAAGTTGAAGACTCTAAGAAGTTACCTCTCAAACAAAGTAAGAGTTACCTCCTTTAAAAAACATTATCAAAATATTCCTTAAGTTACAAAAATAACACTTAAATGGGTCATTTATTCAACTAATTTCTACCATGTGTACATTTGTACCCCTGTAATCTCAGTTTAAATCCAAGATTTTTTTTTTACTCTTGGTAAAAATCCAATAAGTACAAGTGTATGAAGAGATTTCTTTGCAAAATTTCTACTCCTGCCACTCACTAATTTAGACAATGTCAAGATTTCAATGATAAAAAAACTAGGATGTTTTATCAATTGGGGTTCAGAATTTATGGGGTGTATTTGGTTCCATTATTGTTGCAAGCAAAGAGAATGTTTTGTAAATAAAAAATTTGGGGGAAAAAATTTATGAAATTAGAGCATTTTGCTGTTTTCTCAGAATTATTCTTTTTTTCTGTTAAAAGACACTGAAAAAATACAATTTTAAAAAATGTTACTGTAAAAAATACATTTTTAAAAAATTAGTGAAAAAACTAAATCTGAGAAAAGCACAAATTTACTCCCAAAACCCTTTAGTCAATTAAATGCTTTTCAGATGTCTTTTCTGGAAAGTTTTTTTTTATTTTATTTCATTTTCCAAAATGTGTTTTTTTTTGTTTTGTTTTTTGTCTTTTGCTTAGAACAGTAATGAAATTAGATTCACTCCATAGGTTCTAATTAGGTGACTTTTAAAGCAAATGGTTGAACTGGCATTTGTTAAGACACCTCAGGGGCAATGGGCTGATTATTAATGTATGCACCGCTTTGCATATCATTATTTGTAAAGTGCTTTAAAAACTCTGTTTCCTTTTTCTCCCACTTCCTGGTTGATATATTGTGTGTTGGTCCATTGACATAAAACCACCCCAAAAAAATGCATTAATGTTTTTGAAAGTATTGTGTAAAAACTTAAAGGGATGTGAATAATATTCATAACTTTTAGATTCTTATATTAAGAGAGAATAAGTGGTTAAATCAAAATGTTTCATCAATGGGTTATTTTTCAGTATCTTTTAGTCGGAACAGGTTTTATTAATCCTTTTTCGTGATCAGATCTGAATGTTGTCTCCTATGTGTAGCCAAGTCCTGCACATCTTTCTAAATTACAGCTACACTCAAACTCAACTCCCAGAAGCTCCACTTGTGAATGATTATGTCCTGATTGCTGGGAACTGTTTGATTCTCTTTCTTCTATTCGTTTCTGTCTTTTTTTTGGTCTGCTCCTCTATAAGGAAACCTGGTACTGGGATAGCAGTAATGTCACTGGCATGGTGATGAGTGGCGTGAAGTGCATAGGAAACGAGATGGCTCTGAGTCAGTGCCAGCATCACAAAACGGTCAGTTGCCAGAAAGCAGCCGCCAAGTTCGCAGCAGGAGTCATCTGCTCAGAGAGTGAGTTGAGGCAGCGGCAAGAAATAGATTGTTTTTCAAGTCTGTCCTACATTGTTTCATTGTGAAAAAGATGAAATAGCTCGACAAATGCTTTGAGAAATAAAACTAAATGAGTTGTTTTATATCAATGTTAAGATGTCAATCAATTAAATTAAAAATAAGCATAAAGAATTTAACCTTTTGGTTTTTTTTTTTCTCAAATGTATATTTTTAAATGAATGTTTGAAATCCAACATTAACACAACCTGTTGATGGTTTCTCCCTCTGTGTCCAGCGGCCTCCGACCTTGTCCTGAATGCTTCTCTGGTCCAGCAGACGGTTTATGTGGAGGACCGTCCTCTGCACATGCTCTACTGTGCTGCTGAGGAGGACTGTCTGTCTAAATCTGCAGCAAAAGCCAACTGGCCGTACGGACACAGGCGGCTACTCCGCTTCTCCTCTCAGATCCACAACATCGGGCGAGCTGACTTCAAGCCGAAGGCAGGGCGGCACTCGTGGGTCTGGCATGCCTGTCATGGGTAATTATTGATGGATAATTCCAAACAAAATACCAGAGGTTTACAGTTCTCTGGTGGGGGTTAAAATGAATTTTTTAGGAGGTATTTTGAAACCTTTTAGTATCATTGAATGTTGGGATTTGTGTTTACTGTTTTTATTTATATAAACCAAAGAAGAAAACATTGGGTTAAAAAAAAAAAAACAAGAAATATTTGGTTTAAAGTTGTTGATTTATACTGAATAGTAACACTACTACCATAAATACTAGACTTTAGAGAGATTTTATTTGTCATTTTGTTTACACAAGTGTAAAACAAAAAGAAATTTTGTTTGGAAACAGCTCACTGGACAATTTCATCTTTTAACAGTGCAGCCTTGAAAAATAGTAAAAATGACTGTAAATTTACAGTTCTAACTTTTTTTTTATTTATATGAATAATGATAATTATTTATATTAATAAATTGTTGTACTACTAATAATAATAATGATAATATCATGATACTACTACTGATATGACTACTTCTATGATTATTAGTATGAATATTACTATTACTGTTATGACTACTAATTCTTCTACTACCACAGCTACTACTAAGACTGGTAGGCCTACTACTACAACAACTACTATAGCTAATGACTGCTAATACTATGACTAATGCTGCTATTAAACCCTCTACTACTTCTATGACTACTAGTACAATTATTACTATAACTACCACTGTGACTATTAATATGGCTATGATTATTACTCTGATTAATACTATGACTACTACTAACACTGCTAACATGACTATTACTAAGACTACTACTAATAAAACAACTATGATTACTTCAGCTAATGACTAACAAAACTATAACTACTAATACTATTAAAACTAGAACTACTTCTATGACCACTTGTACAGTTATTACTATAAATACTACTGCTACTTTTACTACGACTACGATTATTACTATGACTAATACTACAATGACTGCTAACATGTTTACAAATAAGACTGCTACTGCTAGAACTACAATTACTACAAATAAAGCGTACTAATACCATGGCTACAATACTACAAATAAAACTACTACCCCTCTACGACTACAACCATGACTAGTACGATTCCAATTATTACCTTGACTACTAGTGCTATGACTACTAATACCACAACCACTACTACTATTACTGCTATTACTACTATAACTACTCCCACTATTGAGACTACTACTACTTCTATGACTATAACTAGTACTACTCCAGCTACTACTAGTACAACTACAATTTTTTTCTGCTCAGTCAAGGAAAATATAAAGAAACCCTTTAATACATTCTCTTTCATAAACTTATAAAAAAAGAGATACAAAAATTAAAAGTTGTTTTGTTTGTAGAGATGTATAAATGCTATGTTTTTATAAAGACTTTTAGGACTAATCTAGTCTGCTCAGTGGCACAGTGGGTAGCACTGCTGCCTTGCAGCAAGAAGGTTCTGGGTTCGATTCTTGGCCCAGGGTTTTTCTGCATGGAGTTTGCATGTTCTCCCTGAGCATGCGTGGGTTCTCTCCGGGTACTCCGGCTTCCTCCCACAGTCCAAAAACATGACTATTAAGTTGATTGGCTTCTCTAAATTGTCCTTAGGTGTGAGTGTGTGCATGAATGGTTGTGTGTCTCTGTGTTGCCCTGCGATGGACTTGCAACCTGTCCGGGGTGTACCCCGCTGGATACCCCTCGTGACCCCACTCGGGACAAGCGTGTAAAAAAAATGGATGGATGGACTAATCTAGAGGAATAAGTCAAAACAGTTTGTGTCCAGCGATATTAAAAGCTTATAATGGACCTTAGATCTGTACTAAGATCCCTAAATGAGGGAGAAGCAGCTCTGGCCATAGCAGAGCTATACTAGGCTCAGTATCAGGAAGTAGAGAAACTCAGATTTACAGTTTGCAGCTGTAAGTAGTAGTTTACAGCTCAGATGACAGCTGCTTGTCATATGTCATATATAGGAAAAAAAGTGCCAATGTGTCATGGTTTGGTTATTTATTTAGTTATACATGGACCACTTTTATTCTTCAGTTTCATTCTAATGCATGTCATTCTAATTTTTTTACAGCCACTATCACAGCATGGACATCTTCACCCACTATGACCTGCTGAATGCCAATGGCAGCAAAGTAGCAGAGGGTCACAAAGCCAGTTTCTGCCTGGAAGACACCGACTGTCACGAAGGTGAGTCTTTTGGTTTACCTTGTTTAACTTAAATTAAAAAAAGTCATTATCTTATTATTTGTAAACAAATGTTTGTTTGTGATCGGAAATTCTGAACAAATATATCTGTTTTTATGTGCATTTCTTTCAAAATAGTAAATGGATATTATTTATAACCTTCTCAGTAATTAAAAAAAATCTTTATTTGCTTTACAGCAATCAAAACCTCACTGATTGTGGACTATTGTTTTCTGCTGGTATTTTGGTAATGAGCACCTAGGCCATCTCACTATCGTCAAATTTTTTTTGGCAAGCACGTAGAAATGTTTTGCTTAAGAAAATTTGCATACAAATTTAAACATTTTAAACCAGAAACAAAACTTTGAAAATATTTATTTAAAAAAAAAAAAGGGTTTATAGAGTAACTTTGCTGTTTTCTCAGAATTATTCTTTTTTTCATATTTCAGTTTTTCTCATTTTTTTTGCACAAATTTAGTTTATGTTTTTTACATTTTCTTATGNGTTGATTGGCTTCTCTAAATTGTCCTTAGGTGTGAGTGTGTGCATGAATGGTTGTGTGTCTCTGTGTTGCCCTGCGATGGACTTGCAACCTGTCCGGGGTGTACCCCGCTGGATACCCCTCGTGACCCCACTCGGGACAAGCGTGTAAAAAAAATGGATGGATGGACTAATCTAGAGGAATAAGTCAAAACAGTTTGTGTCCAGTGATATTAAAAGCTTATAATGGACCTTAGATCTGTACTAAGATCCCTAAATGAGGGAGAAGCAGCTCTGGCCATAGCAGAGCTATACTAGGCTCAGTATCAGGAAGTAGAGAAACTCAGATTTACAGTTTGCAGCTGTAAGTAGTAGTTTACAGCTCAGATGACAGCTGCTTGTCATATGTCATATATAGGAAAAAAAGTGCCAATGTGTCATGGTTTGGTTATTTATTTAGTTATACATGGACCACTTTTATTCTTCAGTTTCATTCTAATGCATGTCATTCTAATTTTTTTACAGCCACTATCACAGCATGGACATCTTCACCCACTATGACCTGCTGAATGCCAATGGCAGCAAAGTAGCAGAGGGTCACAAAGCCAGTTTCTGCCTGGAAGACACCGACTGTCACGAAGGTGAGTCTTTTGGTTTACCTTGTTTAACTTAAATTAAAAAAAGTCATTATCTTATTATTTGTAAACAAATGTTTGTTTGTGATCGGAAATTCTGAACAAATATATCTGTTTTTATGTGCATTTCTTTCAAAATAGTAAATATTTTTATAACCTTCTCAGTAATTAAAAAAAATCTTTATTTGCTTTACAGCAATCAAAACCTCACTGATTGTGGACTATTGTTTTCTGCTGGTATTTTGGTAATGAGCACCTAGGCCATCTCACTATCGTCAAATTTTTTTTGGCAAGCACGTAGAAATGTTTTGCTTAAGAAAATTTGCATACAAATTTAAACATTTTAAACCAGAAACAAAACTTTGAAAATATTTATTTAAAAAAAAAAAGGGTTTATAGAGTAACTTTGCTGTTTTCTCAGATTTTGTTTGTTAAATTTTTTGTTTTCAAATGCATTCTTTATATAATTGTTTTGTATTTTAATACAGATTTAAATTTTTCAGATGTTACTTTTTTAAGAAATTATTTATTGATAATTCAATTCATGAAACTCAATCTGAAAAACTTTCTCTTTCAAACGATCGAAAATATAAAATCTGCATTGAAAAAACTAAAACAAATGTTAATTATATGTTAAAAATATATAGATTTTTGGAAAAAAAAATATTTTTCATAATAACATCTGAGAAAACAGATGCAAACTTTTCACTTTCATTTCTGGATAGATTTATTTATTTATTTTTTTTTTCAATTTATAAAATCTGTTTTTTCAACAGTCACTGATAAATAAATAAATCTTCAGCTACATCCAAATATTTCCAATTAATTTTTAGGCTTGGGCTCTACTAAAAACCTTAACATTAATACCAATTTGAGGGAAAATGCACACAGAAAGCAAAGATAAAACCTAAATCTGCCAAAAGTATTAATAGTTTGGGGCTTATGGGTATTTTAAAACATTTGATGTTTGTGAACAAGTTTAATAATTTTGTAACTAAGTGTTTTTAAATAAAAATTGATTGAATTGATTCTGCTTTAACCCTTTATTCTGATGATTTCATGTACATTGAAACCTGAACAGAGGGAAACTAACTTTTAAAACATGCAGGGCAGTGTGCCCTACAGGTTAGGTTTGGAAATCCCTGTTTTTGAACAACAGTTCTAACATCCAATTGAATTCAGGCCAATTTGCTGTAAATCCAGCACAGCAAGGCCACAGTCATTAAATCAGGTATTAGTAACAACAACCTTGTGGTATAGTGCTGGAAAATAAAGCATAAAACAGAGAATACAGTGAGCTGATACCAGTACATGACATTGCTAAGTAAGGTGGTGGGAACATTTACTTGGATCTTCCTATTAACTCCCACCATTTCTCTGTATTGTTAAGGTGTTTCCAAACGGTACGAGTGTGCTAACTTTGGTGATCAGGGCATCACTGTCGGTTGCTGGGATTTGTACCGCCATGACATTGACTGCCAGTGGCTTGACATCACAGACGTCAAACCTGGAAACTATATCATGCAGGTGGGTACATCAGTCTAATTGTTTATAGAAGTATATGTGATAACCTCAGCTTCATTGCTCCAAGGAACTCAGAGCAAGACGGAGAACCACAGAGGCTGTAGGTGTTGCTTACCGGAGGCGGTCTGGAACTGAGCGGATGAGGAATTTTAGAACGTCAACTGCTGTTTCAAGATTACTCTCTGCTTGGAGTGTTTATCGAATTAAATAGTAGGGGCCTGAGTATTGGAGCTTGATGAATCCCACAGGTTGAGATCATCCAAAATTTAATTATCCAGTGTTAAAGTCACTTTTGATGGTGTTTCAGCTTGCTGTTAACAAAAAATTTTTTTAGGGTTGTCCGAATACATCCCAAAAAGTGTGAACAAAAATTTACATTTTTTTTAAGCATGTAATATACTTTCAGTACTGACATAAAAATCATTCAGGAAAAATCTCCTATTCCTGTTGAGATAAAAATGAGCTAATCTATTTTATTATGATGATTACTATCATTATTCCCCTGTTAAAGTTACAGTGTTAAAATTCTCCTTATCCATCTTTGTGTTTTCCACCCACTAAGGTTGTGATCAATCCAAATTATGAAGTAGCAGAGAGTGATTTCACAAACAATGCTATGAAGTGCAACTGCAAATACGATGGACATCGGATTTGGCTCCATAACTGCCACCTCGGTAACTAAAAACAGCCAATAACATTCAAACTTAATGTCAGACTTGTTGAAATTTATGAATGCTGCCCCTTGTCTGTTGTTCTTAATGTCTCCAGGGGATGCATTCAGCGAGGAGGCAGAGAGGAGATTTGAGAAGTACCCTGGACAGATAAACAACAGGATTTCCTAATTTTCCAGGACTCACTGCAGACCAAAATGCCGACGCCAGCTGATTGATATAAATAAACGTGTCTAGTTTATACAGAAACACACAATCCCTTTGTTTACAGGTGCTCACATTGATCCCAGCCACCATATTTCTTCATAGTTATTATACTTGAAAATTCAAGTGGTAGTGATAATGTCCTCAAGTGTAATATGAGTTTATACATGGTTTTTTTTTACAAATTAAGTTTTCATAGTCTTAAAGTCTAATTGATGTACAGCTTTTGTTGAGTGTTTTAGTTGCATATCTGAATGAAGCTTTCATTTTCATTTTTTTAAACAATATGTAGGTTGATTTTATTTGCTTTTATTACTCAATTTCCAGCTATTGACCTTGAAAAAGCTTTGTTTAATTTGCCTTCAGTAATCTGAACAGAATCTAAAGGTTCTGATATTTTCCACTGTCTTGAAAACTGTTTTAAGCCTTCACTTTTCAACAGTTGGCACGTAACATAAAAAGTTTTAATATTTTATATTGGGGTTTTATTGATGGACCAACTGACAGTGTTTGCTGTGAAGCACAGTAGCGGCAGCATCATGCTGTGGAGTGGTGGCTCTATAACATTAAAAGTTTGAATTTTTTTTTTTTTTTTATGAAGGTAACGGGGTATAAAGACTGCTCCAAGGCATTGTTCCTGATTAAGAGAAGACATTTAATGCAAAAAAACTGGTCTGAATATAAGAAAAATATTCTCAAAATTGACTTAGATTTATATTTTTGCTGTGTAGATTTCTCAAACTGTGCATAATGTTTTTTTTTTCTTTTATTTAAATTAGAATTTTTGCTCTAATTTAAACAAAACAGTTCAAACACCTTTGAAAAACATCCAGGTTTTACCAGTCTGCCATCCTACATTTGTACTAGCAGTGTTTTACTCCTTTGTTGGTGAGGACAGCTGCAATATTTCATGAATGTATTTATTTCCATTATAAAGGTGCTCATAAGCAGTTTGTGTCTATGAGCAGTTCTTTGAAGCTAATAAGCGCCTGAGTTTATTTCACCCGTCAACGTCCCTCTGCACTCCCGAAAAAGGAAAGACTGCCTTCATCTGACAAAGTCTATGTATGATGATATAATAAGCACATAAAACTATGCTCTGAGTGAGATATAAACCTGCTGCCAGTTGGTGCCAAGGGGGTTCAACCCAATCCACTGCTAATCCCAGTCTTCAATAACGTAGATTGGTAATCCCATTAACCTCTTCTACCAATCACATTATCCACGGGCCCAGATTTACACCTGATTACTCACACAAGCTGCCAATGTTTCATGTTTCTATTCTCTGCCCTGCTGTGGCAGATGTCTTGAGTTTTACTTTCCTATCACCCTTCATCCCCTAAACATGCTAACTTGGTCTGGCAGAAGAAGATCACACGGGTTTGTTTTTCAGATCAACACAATCAAAGAAAAAATTTATTATTTTGAAATAATAGGTTTATAATTGCGAAATGCACTAAAAGAAGATGTGAAGAATTATGAGAGCTTCAGAGCGTGTCTTCTGGAGCTAAAACAGCAGAACTGCAGGGTGTGTTTGGGTTGTGGTTCTCCGTTTATAAAAAATTTTGTAAATGTTGTTTCATTATTGTTGTAAGCAAAGAACATGTTTTGTAATGGACATTTGGCAAAAAAAAAAAAAAAATCCAGAAATGAAACTAAAAAACGTCTTAATCAGGAAAAAAAAGGTTTTAAGAGAAACTCTTCTTTTTTGTCATATCTTATCTTTTCAAATTATATTTAAAAATCTTCTGTGTATTGGACAGAATTTTTAAAATTGCACTGTTTCAAACTGCGTTTTATTAGATCAAACTTCTTCACTTCTGGAGGTGAGCTTTCCTCTGCTGTGAGCAGCAAAGACGCATCTCTTAGATTTATTTAAAGCATATTGTTCGATATGCTCTAAGGGTGAGCGTTTTTGTTGGGCTTGAAGTGTAGAGAATGTAAAAGGCATTTGAAAAGAATCTTAAAAGCAAAAATGAAAGAAAAAAAAAATTAAATACCCAATCTATAAAAAAAAATGTTTGAAATAAATATAAATTGGTCAACATGCTGAGCGTTTATATTGTGTTTTAAGTTAAGAGAATGTGATCTGTGAAACACGATTTGAAAAGAATGTAATTTGTAAATCTGAATAAGACATATAAAAAAAAGTAACGTATAAAAATTGGCAAAGAAAATTCAAAAAAGTAAATGTTAAAGAAAAATGTGTTTGAAAAAAATACAATTTGATTAATCAGCAAAGCTACTCTCTTATGACAGAGTTAGGAATTTATTTGCGTAATATTACCAGAAAAAAACGAAATCATAATATTAGGTGATTAAAGTCATGATATAATAAAGTCGTCACATTATTAGTCCATTTGGAAACAATATTTTAAGAATTTCTGAGCAGAACAGCCAAACTACCAAACAGCAATCTGAGCTCGGTTTTCAAACAAAATAGCCTAATAATTTGATGCTAAAAGGTTTATTATTTCCTTATTTGTAAAACTGATTTGAAAGTGTAACTTCACAAGATTCTCAACAATCATCATTTCAATCCAGGGGATGTTGCCGCAGGACTTCTCATTAAATAATATTGATTTTACTCTCATAGCATTACGACTAACCTCAGAATGTTACAACTTTAATCTAGGAATATTATGACTTTTTCTCCCATAATTCTACTACTACTGCCTGTCAAAAATGGGGAGAGTGGCAGCCTAGTAGTTGGGCGATGTAGCTTGGAAACCCTGAGGTTCTGAGTTTGAGCCCCGATCCCACAGACTGCCACTCTGGGTCTCTGAGCAAGACCTTTAACCCCCAATTGGTCCCCGGGCGCCCCACAATCGCAGCCCACTACACCCCAAAGGGATGGTTTAATGCAGAGGTCAATTTCTCCAATGTGAGATCAATAAAGTTTAATTATCATTATTATTCAATCATACTCTCTAAAGCATTTTTTTTTTTTTTCAAAACATGTACCGGTATCCTGGATTGCCTGTTTTTCAAATTTCCATTTACAAAATATGTTTTCTTTGCAACAGTAGTGGATTAAAGCTCACTCCATAATGGATTTTAAATAGCTTGTTTATCCCCTGCTTTGTTTTCAAGTTGATTAGAAGCAAGATGTTCAAATGTTGGACCCATGTGGTTCCAAAAGAGAACTTTCTGCACAGTTTTAATGTTCTCTCCATTGCTGTGATGGACTAACATCATATTTCAGCAGACAAGGATTACTTTGTGATTAAAATACAAACTGCTTTCACAGGATGATATAGCACATTTAAATAGGATTTAAGCCTGGGTTAAAACAGGGCATCATAACTTCTTTATGGTGGCCTTTGGATTACTAATTTTAAGTGTCATTAAGTAAAAAAATAACAGCAGGGAAAAAAATTTAGTAAATTTTTAACAATGGGTTAACTGGGAATGTTTTTTACCTTAGTGAATTAAATCATTTATAAATATATGTATTTATATATATATATATATATATATATATATATATATATATATATATATATATATATATTAGTTACCCAGGTTATATTTGTCTAGGGATGAAATTAGATGGGTAGTCATGGCAACTCATACCAGGTGGTTTGTTGTTTCATATGGGCGTAATTCAACACCCTCAGAAGCAGTTACCGTCTAAACCAGAGTTTGGCAGCACTGACGACCTCAAACAGAACATCCCAATTTTAAATGTTAGTATATTAATCATAAAGTAACAATAAAACACTGTGGTTAATTAGTCGCATGAACTAACATTTAGGATGTAATTTACAGAAATAGGTTTTTAGAGGGGAAAAGAAAAAGTGTCTCTGCAAGTCATCTAGGAGTCCCATAAGTATTTAGAGATAAACAACTAAACTGTTTAATGTAGGTCTTAAAGTATGTATAAATTATTTATAGGGCTGCAACTAACAATTATTTTGCAAATTAATCTGTCGATTATTTATTTGATTAATTGATGGATTAATAATCAGATAGCAAAAGGTTGCTTTAAGATGTTTTTTTTTACAAAATCAAACCAGATGAAACTAAAACTTTTCCACTTCAGGAATTCTGGATAGAGCATGTGGACAAAAAGTTTTTATATTAAATACAAAATGTTTATATATTTTTTTTCATTTTTGGTATAATTACTGCTCTAAGTGGGTTTCTCTTTCAGCTGAAGGCATGTTTTACTGTCTATACTCCATTTAACGATTCAGCGATTATTAAATTAGTTGATTAATCATAATTAACCCAATGGTTTCAGCCCTAATTATAAGTATTAAAGGTTGGCATGAGGGACATTGTTTTTTATTTTAAGAGGAGGAACACATGTTGATCAGTTTGCTAATGTTGCAAACTTTAAACTTAAGCCATAAATCCTTATTGATGACCTCTAAACGTCTGTCAGCTTATGGACAAATATTTACTAGCAGGTTTAAAGTTGTGTCATAAAAAACAATGTATACTGTTTAAAACCTGATAATTAGGTACTTTGTTAGAAAAAAAAATAAAAAAAACGAAAATGTCATAAATATGTTGCTGAAAATTAATTCTGGGATTTCATACAGAATTAAAAAACAAAATAAATACAGTCTAGCATTTTGGTTACATCTCAGGTTTTTATACTTTAATTCCAAAAAAGAGTCAGCAAGCTGCACATGTTTACAATAATAAACCCAGCATGAATGAGGGAGCTGTTTAGATGATTGTTTGGTGGTAACAGCACAAGGTGGATAAAAAGAACTACCCAGAGAGTTGATGTGGAAACTATTAGCTGGAGGTCCAGATGCGTTGGTTGCCAGAATTCCCAGGGAGTTTTCTCAAGATTCTGGTCCATGAAGCATTGTTTTGCATTCAGGTTCTGGATGAAATGAACCACTGAAGTCCCAAAGGAAAAAAAAAAATTACGGTAACACCACGAGTAAAAAAAGCTGGATCACTGCAGCACTGTCCTTTTGACTACTTTGCCTTCTTTGTCAACGGCAAAGTTATAGTTCTTAGGATTATCCAGTGCCTCTTCGATTCGCTGATCCAGGTTCTCCAAGGTGATAAAGTTCTTAGCCTCCTTCTGTAAAAAAAAAAACATAAAATAAATGGTGAGATTTAACTGACAGGTGGGATTCTGGCTTTGAGTGTGTTCCACCATCTACAAATATACCTGCAGCTGTAAAATCTCCTCCTCTTTTTGCCTAATGAACTCCTGTAGTTCCTCGTCACGCTGAACGGCAGCTTCCATTTTCTTGATCTCAGCTTCCTCCTCCTCCTTCTGGATCCTTGAAATTCTAAAACAGGAGAAATGAAGGAAGTCGTTTGTTACAACGAGGCAACATCCCCATCTTGAATACTCAGTATGAGGTGGTCCCCACCTGGCTTTAAGCATCCGGAGGTTTTCCTGGTTGTTCCAGTCCATCAGAGCTCGATGCTCCTCCTCCTCCTGCCTCGCTCTCTCTTCCGCCTGCGAACCCGTCTCCTCCTCGTATTTCTTACGCAGCACCTCTTCCTTGAACTCCAGGCTGGCAAAGGTAGAACAAGCTGAATGTTTCAACCACAGTCAAGACCGATTTAAATCCTAATATTAACTAGAAAAGCCTAACTGATCCTTCTGTATAATAGCCACTAGTGATAGACTAATACATTAGCCGATACCTGCATGTGATCCATCAGTGCATCCAGTGTCTATGCCTTTAGACCGATTCCTCCATTTGCTATCCATTGTGAATCATTTTCCTTGACTTGTTAAGAAATATTTCTTCTTTGTTTACACTGAGACTTGTTTAACATCAAGCAAGTAAATTGAAGAAAAGAAGAAATATTAGCCTAAATAATCAGCCCAAAAAAAGAAAAGAGGGAGCATATATCTGCATCGGTGCTTCTAGATGAAAATTACAAGGGGGGGGGCCAGGATTGGGCCAGCATTTATTCATGGGGGCAAAGAACAAAACAATAAAACATAAAAATAAACAAAGAAGGCAAGATTGCACCATTTAGTGTATTAAGTAAGCCTCATAACCAAGGATGCAGACCCCTCATCTAACAGATGAAAACTGTGATCCTATCTTGGTGATGCTTAAAGCTAACTGCTATTTCTAAACAATCGCTAAAGGTAAATTTTAAAGGAGTAATAATAAAATTGGTCAAAGAGATGAATCAGCTACAGTCTCTTCTGTCAGCACATATCATAATTGATTTAGTGTTACCCTACAAAGACTGATCTTAAAAGCAAAAAATTCTTAAAATAAGTGTATTTGCTATTAATTTGAGCAGGTTATTGTGAGGATCTGCCAAATATGAGAGTATTTTGCTGATAAAAATAAGATAAATATTATGCACTTGAAATAAGTTTACTTTTTCTCTTTTGTTATTTTTAAACGTAGATCATCTTATCTTAATTGGCAATTTGTCTAATTTTCCAGCTGAAATCAAGGGAAAATACACTTAATAGAAGAAAAAAATGTATTTATTTATTTATTTCATTTTTTTATTATTATTATAATTTTTTTATGTGTAGTTTATGTTTCCAGTGCAGGGGCCAGGGCCAGCTCTTCAGGGGCACTGGCCCCTGTCTAGATCCCATGCATATCTGCTAGATATGCATAACTAGATATGCATATATAGGTCATGTCTAGTAGATATGCAGGGGAAAGAAACCTTTGATAAACTGTGTTTTTTTTTTCAACGCAATATGCAGAATATATTCATTTTCATCTCATTAACTTGTAATTCTTAGTAACAGTAAGGACTGAACTTACCGCAGTGCCCTCATTATCAGCTCGTACTCCGAGTATCTCTCCTTGAGGACCACCATCTCCACCGGATCGACGGAGGGAGGCACTTTAATCCGTCCTTCTTTGGACTTGGCCACCGGGTCAGTGCGGGACTTTCGTCCGCGTACAGCCTCCACGAGCACGGCCGTCCTGGGCGCGAGGAGCCGGGCGGCCTGGAGGCTCCTCCCACCGAGAACCTGGAACATGTCCGCAGCTATAAAGACCTGTTTGGCAAACGTTGCTGGAGTGAGGAGTCGGTAAAGCGGCGAAGAAAGTTAACATTGAGGAACAAATGTTACAGAAGCAACATGGCAGCCATTTTTGTGACCTATCACAAGCGGAAGTAATAAAAGAGGGTTGTTTTATGTTTTACTGCCACCTGTCGGCAAAATTGTGAACAGCGTTTCAAATCGTTAAGACATTGGGCTGCCAATGGGGGAAAAAATTTCTTTTTTTTTTTTTAGGAAATAAGTGTCTTATTGTATTTAAGTTTAAGTCAAATGTTTGAACAATTATTTATTGCATAAAAAGACATAAGACGTTGTTAAAGACAATGCAGTGAAGTGTTCCTATTCTCAAAGAAGTTGGCAACACTACTTGACAAACAATTATTTTAATCCTTTTTCCCCATTCCTTTAGGAAGTTGAGCATAATGTGTATATTCTAAGAAAGAAAAAAAGTGAACACACAAATTAGTAATAATAACTTAAACCTACACTATTTTGTAAATAACTCCAAGTAAAATAGTTAGTTTATGTAACATTAAAACCACATGCACCCATGCAGGCCTATTGGTGTTGGTATTTAATGTGCGTGTCCAAAAAGTAATAGATAACTGCATAATGAGAGGAAAATTACACACTCTTTTTTTTTAAAGCAATCTAAATGTGAGCGAACAGCGAGTACAGTAAAGATTAAAGAACACACCAGATATTTCAGAGATAAATTTGTGGAGTAATTTACTTGTAATGTTAAATATGTTATGGAAACCCTAACAAGAAATGTGCATCCATTGGAAAAGAGTGACTGACTATATGAGAAATTAACCAGTTGAGGAACCAGGAGGTCGATGATGCCTCCGGAAGAACAGCAGTGATCCACAATTCAATCGATCATAAGAAAGGAGTTTTTATGCGAGGCTATGAAAACATAATAAGCATATTGAGGAAGGTGCCGTTTGGAGATTAAACTAAAGCTGGAATTGTTCTGCAGTATGTTGTATGCATGGAGAAAACATAATCTGGAAACATCATGTTGTAGACTTGCCTTCTTTATTCAATCTTGGAAGAAAACCCATTTGTGGCTGCAAAAAGCTGAGACTGGGGTAAAAATTTACCCTCTGAAAATTCACTGTAAAACCTATCCCATCATGGCTTAGAAAGTCCAAGACTTTTAAAAAGTATGTTCAAACATAATATATTTTGGGATTTAACAAAGAGGGACCAGGTGTGTTGTATTTTTAAACTATATAAGATAATTTCTGTCTGTTTATACATATACTTAAAGCGTTGGTAATACAGATTGTTTCTATTTTTATCTTATCACTCAAGGTTTTTTTTTTATTTTTAGAAAAAAAACCTCGGAGCAAGTGCATTGGGTTTATAACTCCATAAATAAGCTTGCCGCTTTAGAGGCTTTTTTCAGAGTATGCTTTAGACCGAAATTGCTCAAAAAGACCCAGATGGAATTTATAACATCAAGACTGACATAATTTCTCTGGACTTGTCACGTATTGGTTTATAGTTATCATACCCCAAAATATACAATGCTGTCTATTCTGTTTCATTCCTTTGAGTTGAAAGTTATTGTTAGAAGTAATTTATTATGTTACAGGCCATCAATCAAGTCAGTACAAATACATCAGTCCTTTGGTGTCAGTCCCCATAATAAAATATATAATTGGAAAGGCCTGTGATTTTTAATAAGTGTGACACATACTAAATAAACCTGTCAGGTGACAAACAGAAGGTAGCCATAGAATATTCCATCTTTATGACTTAAATAAGCATTTAAATCTAAAATCAAACTTTAGCCTCTTGCTCACATATAGCTAAGAACATCTTGAATGCAAATTAATACACAAATACACTGTAGCAGGTCAGTTATGTGTTTATTTAACTGGTTGTTGGTTGTTACAAGGGCACCGCTTAATGGTGCCAACTTTGTACAGGTTTCACAGGTGTAAAGTACTAATTAGATCCAAAATCAACTGACAGTCACAAAGCTCCTGTAGAGAGATTGGTCAGGCTGATATTTTTATCTTTGAATGACTTTGTAGAGCATATTTGGCCCAAACGTCAATGAGACAAATAAATCCTACAGGGAAAAGCCTCAGAATTTCTTAGAATTTATGGGTCTTGAAGACTGGTAGTTTATTTGAAAGCCAAAGAGCCAATTAGCATTAATAAAAAGATTTGCCTAAGTCCTGCCATATCATTGAACATAAATGGTTGATCACCATTGGCTTAAGAAATGTTTTAAGTTTACCGGATCTACATTATTACTGCAGAACCAGGTGCATGGCATTGTTTGACTTATTGGTTGAGTTCCAGGTGAAAAGATAGATAAGACCCAAACATTGAGAGACAACTGGAATTCTTTCCTCCTCCTTCACAAACAGTTGGTCAAATGTTTGGATACAGAGGCATCGAGAACGTTCAGCGGCTAACTCAGCTGCTTGGATCTTAGCATGATCCACAGAGAGAAACTCAACCAAAATGATACAGCCACCTGCCATCGTTACATAACTAATGCAGAGCACCAACTCTGCCTTGAACAGGTTACTGTCTTCATGATGTGTGGTGTCAGAACGTGTGTAGAAGAAGGGGGACTTCTTATGGACCTCTTGTTAAGCACAAGGGCACTGCTGTCTTGAGAGAGATGAGTTTCAGAGTTTGGTCTGTTTCTTGGGAGAGTTGATGAATGGGTGTTTTGGAGAGAAGGACATTAGAAGAAATGTCAGGGGAGAGCAAAGAGAGTAAATAAAGGTGGGGAAGAACATTTTAAGGAAGAGATCAACAGGGTTTGAAGAAATAGGTATCGCGCTACGCTGACGACATCCAGGATTAATTTATAGCTGCGAGGGAAGGGTAGGTCAACCGAATCTCCTCCCCCTCCAAGAGTTTCCTGAGAGAGAAAAGGCAAAACAGAGGATATGTATCGGTATGTATCCTGACTAAGTTTGCTTAGAGCAGACAAAATTATTTCTCACCTGTATGCAGCTATTTCAATGTCAAGGGCCATCTTCACATTCAGAAGGTCTTGGTAATCTCTCAGGTAGCGAGCCATCTCCTGCTTCGCTTCAGTAATGTCCTGCTCCAGCTCACTTATCCTCACCTGCAAATAGAAAAAAACACAACTGCACTTTTTAACATTCAATTGGAAAGTTGGAATACTGATGACAACGTCATCTGATTGTATTATATGGGGAGGAGCAGGTTAGTTATCAGTTTTACCTGGTATTTTTCCACCTCTTTAGCCTGTGTGTCCTCCAGATCCTCCAGCTGCTTGTTCAGTGAGTTGATCACATTTCGCAGAGCTTCAATCTCTGAGGAGCGGGACTGAAGGAGCCTGCGGTACTCCATAGTCTCCTCCCGGATGGCGTGCACAGCTTCGTTGTTCTTGCTGGCCATCTCCGCCACACTCGCAAACTTGCTCTTGTACCAGTCCTCAGCGGCTTGCATGTTCTTGTTGGCGAGCCGCTCGTACTGCACCCGGATGTCACGCAGGGCGGTGGAGAGGTCAGGTCTGGTCAACTCCACGTCCACGCTGATGTTAGCCACCTGCAGCTGAGCCTGAAGCTCTGCTTGTTCTTCTGCAAAGACTTTCTTCAGGAAGACTATCTCGTCACACAAAGAGACCACTGTGGCCTCCGTGTCACAGTTGTAGAGCACGGTCCTGCTCACCTCCTCCCTGGCTCTCTGCAGGCCCTCCTCTGCATTCAAACGGCGCCTTGCCTCTTCTTCGTAGCGTTCCTTCATCTGCTCGTACACGTCCCGCAGGTAGTCCCTCTCTGCCTCCATCTGCAACTTCTCGTTGTTCTCAGAGTCGATCATGGCTCTCAGACTCCGAGCTTCCCCCTCATAGACCCCCTGCAGCCGGGATGGATCATTCTGCCTTCTCCTTAATGCATCCAACTCGGCCAACAGGGCTCGATTCTGCAGCTCAAGGTGCCTCACCTTCTCGATGTAGGTGGCGAAGCGATCATTCAGGTCCACAAGCTGCTCCCTCTCTTGGGACCGCATTTCAAGCAGCTCTGTGTTGATGGAGCTTGCCTGAACAAGATGCATCCTCTGAGGGCCATCTGACAAGGAAGAGGAGGGCATCTTTAGGATCCTTTTTCCAGATGGGGGAGCTCGGGGAGAGGAGTACAGAGAGGAAGATTTGATGGTAGGTCGGGAGCCTATGTAGCTGTCCCAAGGACGTCGGTGAGAGAAGAAGGACTCGTAGCTCATGATGATTTTTTTTGTTGTGGATTTTTAGGTTTTTAAGGAAAAGATGTATGTTTAAGTTTCAGGTTTTTTTAAGTCCCCCTTGTTCTGCACACCATCAGTGAGGATGTGTGTGCGTTTTGCACTGCACCAGTTTAGTGATGCTGCAGATCCCCAGCCTTTATAGAGCGAGGCTGCTCCCCCCTCCCCCCACAGGGAAACATCACTACTGTCAGCATTTGCCAGACCAATCGCAAGCCTCTGCAGTGAAGAGAGGAGGATGGTTTTCAGACTCTCTCTCTCTCTCTCTGCAATGTGTCAGAGCCTGATATTTCAAAGTGGACTTTGAAAACAATGAGTTCTCATTCTTTGCTGGTTCTTTCATTTGATTGTGTTTTTCTCTTCTCTCACTGCAGGTTTTCATAACAATACCTAAAATGAGAAAGAAATAAAATTGAAAAGCAGGGACTAATTTTCACTGCAATCACAGACGCAAGTCATTTGGAAGCATGTGTTTAATGGGTTTAATAGACAAATTGAATGAAAACTGTCTATATGATACAATTTCCATGATTTAGTAAAGTTTATATTTGGATTTAGGTCTGTACTTTGACTGGGTCATTCTAAGTCATGATGTATCAGTCAATCAGACAGACAGACAGACAGATCCTTCCTGCCAACAGCTATCAATACCTACAAAACCTGGATTAAAAAAACAACCATGAGTTACTGCAACATTTAGTTTCCCTTAAGGATTAAAAAAGTATAGTATGTTTCAAATAAAATATCAGAAATCTATACCAGGGTCATCAAACCGCAAACCTCAAGAGCCAATGTCATGCAGCTTAGGTCCCTGGTTCAACACAGCTGAATCAAGCAGCTGAACATCCACCTCAGCACCCTATCTCTGATTGAAGCATCATTCAGGGGAGGATGAGGGGAGCAGAGAAAATGATTGACGCACCTTTTGATTTGATTCAGAACGTTAGAAAATGAAACTGGCTCACTAGAGTCCAGAACATTGCCAAGGACAGCTGTCCCCCACATAACATAACACAGATTCAGTCACTATGCATGTAGATCAAACAGTCCACGTTGTTTAGCAGATCCTCGTTAATCCTGTCTTTAATAAGACTTTGAAAACAAACAACTTAAAGGACTTCAGGCTTTTCTAAATGCATATCTGTTTGTTTAACTCCCTCGCTATAGGGTTACATAAATATGGTAGCCCCAAGGTGAAGGGATGAGACAGAAAAACCTATCAAAAATGTTGTGAATATAGCTGCTGTCCTATAACGGTGAAATAAATTCAAATATCACACAGAAAGAGTTAGTTTACACAGATGTCCCACCATCTCTTTAACCGTTCTTTTGGCAAGTTGCAAAGAATTTGCTATTAGCGTATCCTCAATCTTCTTTGCCCTTTATGTTGCCGTAAAGGGTCCTTCACAGATTGCTTTTTTATGGTCTGTTTCCTGGGGGTCTCTATATATCTGATTAGGTTGCAATCTGATGAGTCATTGACATTCCTCAGCTGTCCTGAGTGATGGTGTGTGGGAGGCACTACTGATGAAGGTAGTGCTTTCTGTACCTGCTGATACACAGAAACTGGGAGTTTACATATAAATCACTGCAGGGAGAGAAGCGTCGGGCCAATGTGGCTAACATCTAGGACTCGTTGAGGGACACAGATTTATGGAGTTTGTTCATACTGATGGATCTGCATGCAGCTTTGCCAGCAACATAAACATCTGATCCTCTGATGCAAATGTTGGTGCTCTAAAAGTGGAAAAAAAGAATAATATTTTATTCACGCAGGTCTTGATGTTATGCACATGTTATGTTATGCACATCAAGCTAATAAAACCAAGAAACCCGAAATTGTTTGCACAACATTTTACAGATAAAATATTCTTATGTTACAGAGAGAAGAACCTTGAATGTCTTTGTAATATATTCATTTTTTGTGCTTTTTTTTATTTTGGCCAGCAGGTGACGCCATTATACAGGAATGTGCTGTTGCCTGGTCGGGCTTGTGGTTCCAAAAAGAGGGTTTTATTGTGCTAACAATTGGAAGCCCATTTCCACCACATGAAAGTGAAAAAAGGGCATATGGTATTTCATAGCCTAGTTATAAAATTTTAGGTCATTATTTAGACTTTCCTTAATTAAGAGATCTAAATTTGTAATTTTGAGATTCAATGTCATAGCTATGAGATATAGTCATAAATTCAACCTTCAAAGCCTCAGTTAAGAGATACTAAGTCATAATTTGAGATATAAATTCATAATTATGGTATAAAAGCAGAATTTAAACAGTCTAAGTTTCATTTATGAGTTATAAAGTCATAATTTTTATATTTAAAGAATATAATATATTTCCAATGTCATAATTATGGGATATAAATTCAAATTTATGACACCAAAAGAATAACTATGAAATAGAAGTCATAACTTCACTTTCAAAAGTAAGTAATTTTCTAAGATACTTTGTATCTATTGTTGTATGTAAAAATGATGTATACTTTGTACATTGAGCATTTAAAATGAATTATAAATGGCAAAAACATGTTATGATTACAATTACATATACATGTCATTACTTGTATATAGAAAAAGTTTTCATTCATGAATAAAATGTTTTTTGTTGTTGTCAAGTTTTGTCACAATCACTGCTGTTAGGGTGTTCGTAGGTTGTTCTTTCGGCAACTGGCATATATTATAGAGTATGTGCACTAATAGGTAACACTGCAATTCTATTCGATTACCAAATAAATTCAGTTATTTCAGTGATTGATTAATCCAGTTTAATCAAAATAATCATTTTAGTCCTACTGCAAAGTAGTGTGTGATTTTGCTACTGCACTAAACAGAGTTCATAGTAACTTGTTCCATTTAGTTTTTTTAATCGTATATGTACTATTATTATGCATGATCACTACTTTTACTTATTGAGTAAATATCTAGGCTACTTTACTCTGTGAGTAACTTTACACAACATAGAACAAGATATTTTAACCTAAAAAGCACCAGACAGACAGATGAGGCTTGTATTTCCAATACAGTAATATTATTTTGTATTAATATAATAACACAAATATATGAATATACATATAAATATACTCATAACAACAGAATAGTCTGTCTGATTTACATCAGTTTGAATAGTAAAACAGTTCTTTTGCTTTTTTCATACCTTTTTACTCTTACTTGAATAAATTATTGAATAGTTGCTTATTTTCTATTTATTTAGTAGAAACATAATGCTGCTTTTACTTGAGAACAGTTTTTTTGTACTTTATCAGCCTTTAGCAAGCAAAGCTAAAGTTATTTCAAGGCTTTTTTTTTACGCATCTTCTGCAGTATTGCTGTTGAGAGCTTTGAACACTAGGGGGCGCCCTTGTGCTGTTCTGTTAATGAGCGCATCAGACGCTTCCTCCCGTGCAGTTCATAAAGTGGCATGTAGTGAAACTTATCTGCAAATCACATCTTTATTTAGAAGTTCGTAACAATGAATATATTCCCGGCGGTACATAAGGTAAAAATAAGTACATAAAACATTTTTATTGACAATTAAAGACTTTGGAATGTCAGGCTTTTTATCTCTAAAATTATTTTTTTTACATTTACAAGAATCCACAAAAAAGAACAAACTTTTTTTTTTTCTTGGACAAAGGGGAACTAGTTTGGGCAGATTATTTCTTCCTCTAATGTACAATTAGTTGACATTTTTAATCACTTCATCTCACATATAGAATATAAGACATTCAACATAGAAACAGTTCAGGAAAATCCCATTTCGCTTTAATTTTCGATATAAAAGTGTTTTACTTTGGTAGAAAACGTTTTTATCTCATGAAAATATGTGCTGGATATAAGGACGTGTTTGCATCTTGGCCTGTCAGACTTCTTCCATCCACAGAGCAGTGGACAGCTGACATTCACATATAGGAAGAGCTGCATATTTATTAATGAGCTGGGTGCATGCACAGGGCTGTCTGCATGGCAGCATGGAAGTGGTCATTCACAGGTCGAGCTGTACAGTACTTTGGTTCTTATCTTTAGAGTGCTGGGGGGGACTGTGACGCACACTGCGTCCGAGTGTAAACTATGTGCTCAAACAGTTACAATAAAGACCAAATCATTTACAAACAAAGCTGTGACACATAGAAAACGAATATAAATCAGGTTTGCTTTCTTCAAGTCGTTCTCTCCGCATTAGGGATTTGGAACAGTGCAACTTCAGCTTTCTTTCTGCTCTTGCTCAGAAGATCTTCAGTCTTTTTCCAAACGCTCTGCCCCCCTTGGGAACCCTCTGGCTCGCCTGGTCCTTGGAAAGCGGGCAGTACTTGATGGTGTGCGCGTTGTCGCCGTTGGCGCTGCACAGAGGGCAGGTGTACGCCCGGAGGATCGGGCAAAGGACTCTCCCGTCCGCTGTCTTCAGGATGTGGGTCCCGTAGACCTCCTCCGGGGCGCCGTTGTTCCGACAGAAGACGCACACCTTCGGCTCCGGTTTGCACCTCTGCGTCTGTTTGCGCCTCCTCTCCGCGGAAAACAGGTCGCAGGCGGTGAGGCTCCCACCGTGGGAGGGGGACTCTCTACCCCCGAGCTGCTCGTACGGTCTGAAGAGTGAGATGCGCTCTTTCAGGTCGTAGATGGAGATCGGTGGGGAGCCAGGGGCCGCCCCGCAGCAGCAGCAACAGTCCAGGGGCCCCTCTCTGCCCTGCCCGACCAGGCAGGAGCAAACCGGAGAGTCATCCTCCAAACCCAGGGTCGCTTTCAGAGACTCTGTAATAGAGTTTGGGTTGCAGGACGGGCTGTTGATTTTGTTTTTAGCGACAAGAGTAGACAGACCGAGATAGTCGTTCCAGAAATTAAAGGTGTAGTCGTAAGGAGAGCGCATGTCCAAGAAATCCATCCTGTCAGAGCTGCGAGGGTTTAATGTCCACAGGAGTGAAGAAACAGCTGGGATGCTGCGTTTGTGAGCATGGAGAGCCTGTAAGCTTCCTCTGCTCTGCTCTGCTCTGGTGTTGAGTCTGGATTGCAGAGCTCTCAGCCTGTTGGATCTGATAAATTCCCCAGAATGAAACATGTGGGCGTGGCTTGGTTTACTCTTTAGGAGGGTCCACAGCTTCAAAACCTGCCTGTTACAGTTCCCTGAAAACTTCCCTCTATGTGTTATCTTCTCCACAAACACACATAAATTGTCTTTATCAGATCTAACTTTAAAGAGAGATACGTTTTTTTTTGTTTTTTTTTATGTGAGCCTCTGTTATAAGAAACTCACTTTCAGATTACCTGAACTATCCTTGGATCCACATGTAGTGGGTTAAATCTGGCTCATAGGAGGCAATAAAGTATGTATACATTCGTTACTGCAAAGTAATCCTTATTTATTATCAAAATGTGTAGGTAAAGATACAGTGTAATGTTATTGGATTTTTTTTTACAATTATATGCAAGTAATTTGCCTGGCTGCATTTACATTTTAATGAAAATTTTACAGCGTCCCTCTGGTATAGTATTTGTTATTCTTCTATTTTATGCTTTGAGGTTGTACAGTTTGCTTGTAAGTATTGCCTTTCTGTGTATATTTACCATGGAGACATGATGTATTTCACCATTTGTGCGCATTATTGATCAACAAGGAAAAGCAATGGAGGTAAGCAAGTTTGGAACTCCAAGTGTAGAAAAGTTCAAGGTCAAGGGTAAAGGGTACAAGCATATTTTTGATTCCAAGTAGGATAAAACTTAAAATATGCTGGGAGCGCAGTCTGACTGTTGGTGTTCACAAAAGCTTAGGAAGCGTTTTGATATCGCTGCAAAGATAGACACGTGAATACGGGTCCTCGCTTATAGTGATACTGCTGTTAGCAATGCTTTTAAGCCTTGTCCTCAGAGCTGTCAGTTTTCTGTATGACATTACAGCACAAAGGTGAGGAACTTATTTAGTAGCTGCGTCAATGGCCACCATCTAGCTTTCGGGTAGTTCAGTGCTACTGTAGGTAGATGACACCATGTCTGCTTGTGTCAGCTTATCACTGCTGACATAAGCAGCACCCGTTGCTGGGGTTCTATTTAGGCTCAAATTGGATCGACTTCAATCTTTTCGGTATAGGCATATAACTGCGTGCACTTAAAGGTGCACTGACTGTGCACCTTTAAAGCAACTCTGCGTAATTTCTGACCCAGATATCAGCTCAATTTAAGATATATGAAATGATTTTCTGGTGTATATAAATGCTCCCTATTGGCTCCTTTTTCCCTAAAAAACGTACCAACCTAAAATATATATTTAGCTGCTCATCCTAAATGCTTCCAAAATGCTAAGGTAGTTGCTATTAAAATGCTACCGCACATGGCTGCTTTTGGGGCCAGTTTATTCTTGAAGCATCTCTATTTCGAGTGGAACATTGTCTACAAAGCATTTGCGTCGTTTTACACCCCTATGAAGTTTCCTCTCAGTGCCTAATGTCCTTGCCTACCCTGGGGTTGAGTATTAGGCTTAGGCTAAGGTCTAAAGGCTGATTTATTACACACTCTAGTGCACCTCTCCAAAATTGTAGGTCACTGCAGACAGGAGGCCTCTGATAGGTCAAACCTGAATCTGCTCTACACTATGCGTATTTCCTGTTTGGTACCTTACCGGTTGTTTTGTTTGTATGACCGCCATTGTGGATTTGTGAAGATGGACCAGCTAGAAGAGCGAGGAACCTTTTTCCAAATGGATCCCCTATCTTTTTCGCCCTCATGTCCCTACTGTACGTTGTCGAACAAACTTGCCCCACTTCCTCACCACCTGGGCCGTATCTAGACCCACAGCCAGTTCGTGATTGTCCCTCTTGTCTTGTGGTGTAGAATAACATAGCGCAGACCCAATACTCAATATTGGGCATAAATCAAAAATATCTGTGACAAGCTCATTGCGACACACTGCTGCGGGAGTATAACCAGCCCTTAAAACAGACAGAAGCAATCACAGCGTGGGAGGTGGGCTCATAATGCCACAGCAATTTTCTGTAACCATACAATCAAGACTAAAACGAAGCAATGTTTAACAATGTCCTTTATTATGAGCCTAAAGAGCTGTTTATACCTTTAAAATGTAAAAATTGTAAAGATAATTCTGAAATCAGGCTCTCCTGATCAGGCTCTACCTGCTCCTTTGGAAACTAAGATGTCAGGTACTTGACTTTATTAAGTTAGTCTGGCTGGCCAGGCTAAGGGAGGATAGAGCACAGGCTATTAGCTTACAGCACCACTTTACATATACTGTCATGGTCTTGATTGTTCATTCCATTCACCTGTCTAATCTGCCCGGTTGCTCATTACCCTTCATCTGATCCACCTGTTTCAGCTGCTATTTATGCTGCCTGTTTTCCTGCCATCGGCGCCAGATTATTTAAGCTGTGAGAGCTTTCTAGCAGACTGTGAGTTTCTGTTTTCCTGATCCTGACTAGTTTCTGTCCCCAGACTTCTGGGTTTTGGTTGCCCCTGTTTTGCTCTGTTGCCTGATCTGTTTTTTGACTGTTAGCTGGATTCTTTCTGCAAACTACCTTCTGACTCCAGCTGGATTATCCCCTTGGTACCTTTGAATCTCTCTGATCATCTGGTCTGAACCCCGGCTCTGGATTCTGCCTCTGGACCCACCTGCTCTTTAGCGTCTGCTGGCTGCTCCTGGAACTATCTGTAGAGAAGTCATCTGACTTACTCCCACTCCTTCCTCTGCACACGAACTGAACTTTTAACCAGGTTAGTGATTCACATGCTCGTCATAGTTCCCCATCTGAGCCTAGTTATCACTAACCTGAATGTCTGTTTCTGCAGAGAATCCAGCAAGCCGGTCCCAGCTGAGGCCTTGCAAATCCAGAGCTAACCTGTTCTGTTATGAAGGTAGATTTGTTTCTTTATCATTCAATCAAAAAAAAGTTTGCTTCAATCACAAAATATATTTTCAATTAAAAAAGCTGTCACTTCAATCAAAAAATTATTTGAATGCAAAAATATATTAGAGACTCAAAAAAATACATTTGAACACTGCTTTTCTTTTATTGAAAATGTTTTATTCAATAGAAGTCCAGTCTTTTTTGTTTAAAGCAACTTTTTTAATTTAAGTAATATTGTTTTTTTGATTGGACCATATAATGGATAGGAAATTTGTGTCTTTGTTATTCAATAAAAAAATAAGTTGCTTTAAATATACAACAAAAGAATCATTAAAAAAGAAACTTCAATGAACAGATAAACATTTCCAATCATAGATAATAGTTTTTGAATGCAAATAAAATATTTGAGACTCCAAAAATGGCCTTTAAACACTTTTTTTATTATTGAAAATGTTCTCTTTGGTTGAAGTAATCTATTTTGTTTGTGGGCCATACATGGGTAGGACATTTGTGTCTTAATCATTCAATTCCCAAAAAATTGTTTCAATCAAAAAAAATTAAATCAGAGGAAAAGCTGTGCAAATGCAAAAACATAAAAAGTATTGAAGAGAATGTGTTTTTCGTTGTTTTGTTTGTTTTTTTTTCAGTGTAAAAATACTTTTTTTGTTGCATTTGCACAGTTTTTTCTTTGATTTAATTTTTTTTTTTTTTTTTATTGAAACAACTTTTTGGGAATTGAATGATTACTTCAACTACCATATTCTGTCTGCCTGAATTCTGGGTCCAATTGTCTAAGCCTTGACATGTATAAGTAGAAAACATATTTGTTTTTTGTTTCCAACATTTTCTAGTCTCCGTGTCATCTAATGGTGACTGTTAATTCTTCCAATTATTTTTCACAGTTGATAACAATGATAAATCCCAAGATGTCAAGAGATGTTTATATTTGTAAACACTTGCTAGTACCGCCACGCTTTTCAGTGCAAAACTGTCAACATAGCTATAAAGTTTTCCAGCTGTGCAGTGCAAAAAAATTCTGGCCCCACAGAGGGAGGTGGATGCTAAAATTATGTAATTTGACCATGGTACACAGTACAGAACTTGCAGAATCATAAAGCATAAATAAACCTTGAGCTCTGTCCCTCAGGGTCTGTTGGCACTGACCAGTATGGTAGCATTTGTCTGAACTGTCATGGGTCAGGCTTATATTGCTACATGGGGGGAAAGTTACACATGAACCAGTCTGCTGGAGTTCTTGCTCTATTAAGCTACTGTGCTTTTCGGAGGTAAACTGCAGCCTCAATCTCATCTGTTTTGAAGCTTCTTACATGTTTCTTCAGGATGGTGATATATTCATCAATTATCTTGCAAGCTTTCCTGTTCATGAGGAGAAAAAATCACAATGCAAAAAGAATCAAAGATGGTACTACAACTTTTGTAAATCAGTGTAGACAATATGAAAAATTATTAACTGTACAAATACTGTTGTTCCTATATGTCTTTTGGAAATCATACTGAATTATTAGAAAATGTATTAAACAGTTAAAACAAACCCAAAAATATCTTTTCAGTTATTCTTCCTGCACTGATGGATGAAACCTGCACATGTTCTGCTTCATCAGAGCACATGGTTTTGTGCAGGCAGCCAACCCTGCTCTCCTCCATTGTCTGATCTCTACAGTGGGCCGTTTAACTTCATTAATATGCATTAAAACGAAGTGTGCCACATCTGTGTGTGTCAGTCACACAAGGCCTGTATAGACAAGACCACAAAATTAAAAAAAAATAAATAAATAAAAGGAATTAGATGTTTGACCCAACTGCTGTGGGGGTGAATTTTTTCTGCTATTTTCATTCCACCCTCAAGTGAGATATTAAGACCATGATATGTCTTTTGTATTTCTCAACTGAAGATTTCTATATTATGGATAAGATGTAATTTATTTGTGGTTGTAAGAGTAAAATTAGGAAATATATATAAAAATATATTATGATTTAACTCTAATGTTTTCTAAAATGTTACAAAATTTTTTTTTGCATGACTTTCTTTACATTAAGGTTTACACCCAGAGCAGAACATCTTCACGGGGAAAATCATGTAAGCAGCACAGCTTTCTCCATGTGCATGAATACATTTTCTACACAACACGCCACATGGGTCGTTTTCAAGGTCACCTCCGGCTTTGCATTCACAGAGGAAATCATGAGAGAGCATTTCAAA